GGGAACAAATCAGGTATGCGTCCCAATCAAAATAACCAACCGTAACAATGTTAAATACTGTCTGTAGGTTAATCGAGGAGGTGGTATATTCATTATTCCAAATTTTTTGGGATTTTCTCTCCTCGTTTCTATAAAATAAAAATATGAATATTATTTCAATATACGTGTAGTAAGGACAAATCAGATGATTTGCCCCAAAATGTCACTGCGTTTGAAGAATTTTCCTATCAGAGAGCCTAAAAGAAAAATTCACTAGCTTGTCAGTGACAATTTGTATTGAAAAAATTTTTGGAGAAGGGAAATAAAGGTATATAGAAAAAATATCAAATTTTCACTTATCTTTGGACGTTTCGGGACCGGTTCTGCTCCCGTTTTCAACATAAGAAGAGATTATTTCAATAGCGAAGTCGTATAATGTCTTGAAGCTTTTCAGTTTTCAATGACAATTGGTGACGTTGGCAATCAAATGAGTTACAGGATGTTTTCATTAATTGATCTTGAATTTACCATTTTCATGTTCAGATTTTAGTAGTGAATACCATGTTCTGTCTATATCAACTGAACAAGAAGCAATGTTATTGTCTCCGTTCAGAAGAATGCAAGCAGATTCCTTGATTTTTCTCTTCTGGTTGTTATCTTCTTTTCCAATAATTTTAATATTATTCCACTCTGCCATATGTTGTCCGTCTTCAGTAAGGATATGTTCAGCTAGTTTCGATTTATCGATGTTTATTTTCTTTATATTGTACTTATGTTCCTTCGTCCTTACTGAAAGAGGTCTCTTGGTTTCACCTGTATAAAACTTTCCACAAACACAAGGTATACTGTAAATACAATTTTTTGATGATTGTTCTTCATTTTTCGGCTTTGTTTGAGTTAGAATTGATCTCATTGTATTTTCAGTTTTGAACACAGTTTTCACTTGAAATTTATCACCAACACGTTTTATTTTTTCAGATATGCCGGGAATGTATGGTATTATATTTGTCGTTATTGATGGTTGATTTTGTTGTGGTTGACCCTGTTTGTTTTCAATTCGATGAATCGTCCTATCGACAAAATTCTTTGGATAAGAATTGAGTTGGAGAACATTTTTAATGTGGTGGACTTCGTTATTGAAAATTTGTTGGTCAGATGATATTGATTTGGCTCTATCATGGAGTGATTTGATTATTCCTTTCTTAATACTTTTCTGATGATTTGATTGAAAGTTCAAGTATCTGTTAGTATGGGTCTTTTTACGATAAACACTCGTTACAAAGATGTTATTTGATTTTTCAATAAGAACATCTAGAAACGGTAATTGATTATTAGATTCAATTTCCAAAGTGAACTTTATTGTAGGTTCAGCATTGTTCACATAATCCAGAAAATTATCTAGCTCCATAACATTGTGAGGCCAAATTATGAAAATATCATCTACGTATCGCCACCATGTTTTAGGTTGTTTTTGGTAATTTTTGATGATGTTGTCTTCAAAATTCTCCGTAAATATATTGCTTAAAATTGGAGATAATGGCGATCCCATGGCCATTCCAAAGTTTTGTTGATAAAACTCATCACCCAATTGAAAATATGTTGTTTTTAGACACAATTCCAAAAATTCCATTATTCCTTCGATACTTAAATTAGTTCTTTCAGTGAGACTTTCATCGTCTTCTAATTTATGTTTCACTATTTGTAAAGTTTTATCTATTGGAACATTTGTGAATAAACTTACTACATCAAAACTAACAAGAGTATCATTTGTATCAAGAGTGATGTCATTAAGTTTTTCTAAGAAATGAGGAGTATTTCTGATGTAACTCTCACTTTTTCCTGAAATAGGATTGATGATATTCAAGAGAAATCTTGCTAAATTTTGACATGGAGATCCAATTGAACTCACGATTGGTCTCAATGGAACATTTGGTTTGTGTATTTTTGGAAGTCCGTAAAAATGAGGAGGTTTGCTGTGATATGTGGAGATATTCTTTCTTTCCGCAAATATCGAAAGAAAGATACGTAACACTATTAAGAAACACGAAAATCAATTGACACTCGCGGAAAGAAAGAATATCTCCACATATCACAGCAAACCTCCTCATTTTTACGGACTTCCAAAAATACACAAACCAAATGTTCCATTGAGACCAATCGTGAGTTCAATGGGCGTGTACACCTTGGTAGAACTTTTAACTCAAACCATGTTTATAATGACCCTTTCATACATAAATAATGATTGACGACATAATTCGGTCGAAAAATTTACTGGAATGTTCAATTTTTGGACATAAATAATAGTACCATCTGAAAACGGACCCTCTTATGACGTAGAAACCTCATCTCGCCATAGTTAAAAGAAAATACCAAACGCCGGACGGAGACTGAGGCAACTGATATATTAATTCTTTCAACTGTGATCTCGCGCTAATTCACTCTGCCAGAAATCATGTATCATTCATCTCTGTCTGGAATAGTCCTGTTTCAGTATTAGGGTTTTGACGTCACATCATCGCCTCGTTTTCAGAGGTCCGGAAAATCGGGGATTTCAATAATTTTTTATAAAACGTAGGGAGCTCACAGCGATAAACGGTTTGCTGTGATGAGCTAGTTTGGGTGAGTTCTATCGAATTATGGAATACAAATTTTTTGTGATATAAGCCCATTGGATCTCCATGTCAAAATTTAGCAAGATTTCTCTTGAATATCATCAATCCTATTTCAGGAAAAAGTGAGAGTTACATCAGAAATACTCCTCATTTCTTAGAAAAACTTAATGACATCACTCTTGATACAAATGATACTCTTGTTAGTTTTGATGTAGTAAGTTTATTCACAAATGTTCCAATAGATAAAACTTTACAAATAGTGAAACATAAATTAGAAGACGATGAAAGTCTCACTGAAAGAACTAATTTAAGTATCGAAGGAATAATGGAATTTTTGGAATTGTGTCTAAAAACAACATATTTTCAATTGGGTGATGAGTTTTATCAACAAAACTTTGGAATGGCCATGGGATCGCCATTATCTCCAATTTTAAGCAATATATTTATGGAGAATTTTGAAGACAACATCATCAAAAATTACCAAAAACAACCTAAAACATGGTGGCGATACGTAGATGATATTTTCATAATTTGGCCTCACAATGTTATGGTGCTAGATAATTTTCTGGATTATGTGAACAATGCTGAACCTACAATAAAGTTCACTTTGGAAATTGAATCTAATAATCAATTACCGTTTCTAGATGTTCTTATTGAAAAATCAAATAACATCTTTGTAACGAGTGTTTATCGTAAAAAGACCCATACTAACAGATACTTGAACTTTCAATCAAATCATCAGAAAAGTATTAAGAAAGGAATAATCAAATCACTCCATGATAGAGCCAAATCAATATCATCTGACCAACAAATTTTCAATAACGAAGTCCACCACATTAAAAATGTTCTCCAACTCAATTCTTATCCAAAGAATTTTGTCGATAGGACGATTCATCGAATTGAAAACAAACAGGGTCAACCACAACAAAATCAACCATCAATAACGACAAATATAATACCATACATTCCCGGCATATCTGAAAAAATAAAACGTGTTGGTGATAAATTTCAAGTGAAAACTGTGTTCAAAACTGAAAATACAATGAGATCAATTCTAACTCAAACAAAGCCGAAAAATGAAGAACAATCATCAAAAAATTGTATTTACAGTATACCTTGTGTTTGTGGAAAGTTTTATACAGGTGAAACCAAGAGACCTCTTTCAGTAAGGACGAAGGAACATAAGTACAATATAAAGAAAATAAACATCGATAAATCGAAACTAGCTGAACATATCCTTACTGAAGACGGACAACATATGGCAGAGTGGAATAATATTAAAATTATTGGAAAAGAAGATAACAACCAGAAGAGAAAAATCAAGGAATCTGCTTGCATTCTTCTGAACGGAGACAATAACATTGCTTCTTGTTCAGTTGATAGAGACAGAACATGGTATTCACTACTAAAATCTGAACATGAAAATGGTAAATTCAAGATCAATTAATGAAAACATCCTGTAACTCATTTGATTGCCAACGTCACCAATTGTCATTGAAAACTGAAAAGCTTCAAGACATTATACGACTTCGCTATTGAAATAATCTCTTCTTATGTTGAAAACGGGAGCAGAACCGGTCCCGAAACGTCCAAAGATAAGTGAAAATTTGATATTTTTTCTATATACCTTTATTTCCCTTCTCCAAAAATTTTTTCAATACAAATTGTCACTGACAAGCTAGTGAATTTTTCTTTTAGGCTCTCTGATAGGAAAATTCTTCAAACGCAGTGACATTTTGGGGCAAATCATCTGATTTGTCCTTACTACACGTATATTGAAATAATATTCATATTTTTATTTTATAGAAACGAGGAGAGAAAATCCCAAAAAATTTGGAATAATGAACGTAACAATGTTGTTTATTCTTGATGACCCAGTACATCTTTTTTAGTTCCTAGGAGCTGAAGTTCAACTTTAGCTCCTAAGAACTAACAGTGTTACTAGAAACATGCCTATGTTTGTGCCAGTAATAGAAATCTCAATTCAAGAGCTGATTTTGGTATCAAAATGGACGACTTTGGTGTCGGTTGCAGAAAAAAGAATTATTGAGTTTCCACAGCTGTTAGATAACCTCAAACAAATAGTCTGCACTCATGTTTTTGAGATAAGTACATATATGAAGCACATCGATATGATACAGTCTGAGGAATATTCCAGTGATATCAGATTTTTTTCTAATTTTTATATTCAACGCTCGGAAATTTTAACAGAGGTGAGGTCAGAATTGCAGCGGTGTAGAACTTTGGGCGTAATAAAGGGTCTAACCTCAAATTTTATTTGATCCCTTAAATTTTGTCATTGATGCCCTTCGATAGTATTGGTACCTCGAGTTTTCTCAGGGTTTGAAATATTTGCACTCATTTCAATGCCATCAGGTAGGTCATATCATCAAAATGATCAGAACTTACATCTTTTCCATCCCAATCTGCGAATCTGATGTGTTTCTTCTCGTCCACCAAAACTTGCTTGATCTTTAGAAGCGTGTCCTGAAACAAAAATTCAACTTGAAAAACTGATTCATATTGCTACAACTAGTTTTCTTTGTTTTCATTTACGTCTTAAATGCTAGTACAAAATATCTTAAAATAAAATATACAAGCACTTTGGAATCGATAATCTGGTATAGAAGTCTCTAGTTCAACTCAAAATGAATTTGAATGGTGATGTGTAAGAACAAAATATAAACCATAATAGATTATTGATTCTCAGTGTTGAGGTTTTAAAATATAGGAAATAGACTCCATTTATTCAGTAGTAATGTAGTATATTCGTACATGCATAACGAAGGTATAGGTACATTTCTTATTTAAAATTATTTTGGGATAAATAATATAATTTTCCCACTCTATTGAGAAAATTTGTATTGTATATCCTCCAAGGAGTATAAAAAGCGTGTGGATTTTTGTCAGAACTATGTACCTATTTTACATATACCTATTAGCAAAAGTTGGGAGTTTAAAATTCTCGTATTTGTAAAAACAAAAAATATATGTATATAATAACGAGTGACCGACAATATATTTCTTAGTCATCAATATATTATTCAGAGACATTGAGTCGGTACGTTTTAGTAAAGTTTATTGACTAAACATATCAGAACATTCTGAAGAGTTTAGAGCTGCGAAGTAGAAAAATTTGTACTTCAGATTTATATTTGGGAAGATAATTAATTTGTTTTAGATAACTGGGCAGTAAGTTGTACAGTTTTGGTAGAGTCCGACCACGTTAACTTTGGGACAGCATGTGACCCAACGCATATGCATATTCAATGCATACGCGACCAAGTGCTGTCCCAAAGTTATCGTGGTCGGACTCTACATAGAAGTGGACACATATTTGTGTATGAGATTTTTTATAAATAGGTAAGTCAATGGACATACTAATAGTGATTCTAGTGATGCTCGTTTCTTTTTTTTTATTGACTCGGCCGTTACTTGATGGAAATCCACGGCAGATGTAAAAACTTCAGTTTTTACAAATACTTGTTTCGCTCTGATGCGCTCGTGCTTAAAATACTCGTTAATAAAAGGACGTTTATAACACTTGTTACATAATATACTTATTATCAACGAACGCGGTCTATCTCTCGATTCGAATGAAAGTCAATTTGAGACTTATGTGACCATAAATCAATTGATTCGTATATTGAGTAACTGCATTTTTAATAAGAAGTACGTTCGGAATATGAAGAAGCATACGTATGATATCATTGGAATTCATTCATTATTTGTTTCATAATAGTGATAAACGGACTGATTTCTTAAATGGTACAGATTTCATAGAAGTATATCGACGCCAAAAGATGCATGCTGAAGCCAATTTATTTTTCTTCCAACGGTAATTAATATTTGTTTCCTTCCGTGGGAGTAAATTTTTTCCTTAAATGAGGGAGCAAACGCCAACTTTCGATTTAGTGAGTAGATGAAAATATATCCTTCTACAGATTAGGGATAAGATCCAATTCGGAACTAATTCAACGTGATACAGCTCAATTGAGAATTGGTATGATGCCGACTTTTCTACGGTGTTCCAATGATGTAAATGAGTAAGTGAGTGTGTCACCACCAACCAAGCGAATGGCTCGTCTCTGAATGGAATCTGAGAGCATCAGTGTATGTTTGGGTGCTGATACCCATTTATGTGGAAACAGGCCGTGTCTGTGCTTTGTAGAACATGGGAAGCTGTTGAGGTGTAGAGTAGCTTTACTTTTTTCAATCTCTTGGAGCGCACAAAAGGAAATGCCAATGATGTTCGAAGAACATCGTCCGTACCTAGGGAGGATAGAAAGAGGAGGATGCGTTGGAATTTATTGTAACTTCTAGAGGTTATACAGAGTGTATCTGAATAACACCGAAAAAATTCAAGGGGTGTTTCCTTGTTGCTCCGTTTTTGAGATACAGGATGTTCAAGTTGGAAGTATTGATTGTTTTAATTTAAAACCTTCCAGTATGAGCTTTAATGGTGCCGAATTTCAGTATGGATCGAGACTGAGAAAGATCCAAAATTTCAAAATGATTCTAACTGGGGTTATTGAGTAATCTCAATGAAAGTCTTGAAAACACCTACATTAAAATTTCGAGTCGAATCGGAATTAATTTGTTTGAAGTATTTATTGTTTTAATTTAAAACCCTCCAGTATGAGCTTTTATGGTGCCTAGGTACCTCGTTACATCACTTCTGGAGAGAATCATCCTTCAGATTTCAGAAGATTGGATTCCACATAATTAGTTGAATAGGAAATCATCAAATATTCGGAGTTAACGTATCTTTTCTCTTTGAAAATGCTCTTTCTTTCATCTCGAGTCGGCATTTTGAAATCACTTTGTCGTTTTATATTCCTAGGGTCCTCGTAATAGGAGAACTAGTCCCATATATCGAATTATTCGCTAGTGATATTTTGATTCACCATCTATCGAAGTCCATTGAAGCCCATAATAAGTTGATAGTATTGGATGCTGTATGTAGCAAAAAGAAAGATGCTTGTTAGCTGCTGACACCTGGTAAGAGGATATTTGTCCAATTTTTGTATCAAGATCGATCACTGGGGAGCCGAACTGAACCAACAACATAAAGTTGAGAATAGCTCACATAATATGGGTTTACATAATTCAACGCCTTTGGGGGTGAAATCCAAAGTTGAATGACTACTATAGATAAGCATTTCCTGTGAACCGCATATGTTAGTTAGTTATTCTACAGAAGGATGGACAACTTGTACGAGTTGGTAAATAACTTGCAGAACATCGGTGTCAGTTCTGGTGCACACTTTCTGAGAACAATGGGTGGAATTCCATAGTGCGCCAGCTAAAGACGATCTCTGGCATTCGACTCTCAACGAGAAAGGGAATATCAGCATTTTCTGATCGGAAATATGTTTTCAGGTAGTTACCCACCTGGAATGGAATGTTGAGTATTTATCGTAGGCTGGAACTTGTACTAAAGATCCCAAATACGGCCCTTCACTTCTCAATCAATTCAATTGATCCAGCCCACTCACGTGTGATCGGTTTCCCGACAAACAATCAATCAAACCGCCGGCACAATGAGATGACACGAACGATTTCTCTGTTTTGCATTCGACAATGAAGTTCGGATGACTTCGCATCTTCGTTTGCGATCCGAAAACACAAAACACGAGGAAAGGAATGAAAGGATGCAGGATATTATGTAAATGGTCGTGTGTGGTCGAAGATGTTATCGAGAAGGCCGTGAGGAGAACATGACGGCCTTCTTCATTCATATTCATCTGCGCATTTGATCTTCCAAAACAACGGTTTCCTTATCAACACCTGATTGTTTTCGGGGTTAACACGAATGAAAAGAAACAGTTTTCCAGGGAGATTAGAGATTACCTATTTGCTCGATAAAGTTTGGGAATAGCAATGTTCCTAACAAGTGCGTAAAGTAATTCTTTGCTTCGCGTCCGTGTCAACGGCAGTCGCGTGCGGGAAAGACGCTTTCCGCATGAGTTAGGAACAATATTTTCCGCAAATCGCTAGGAAATTTTGACATTCCTGTCAAAATTTCTTGAAGAAAAAGTCAGGACTTCCTTACTGTAAGGAAATGATATTTCCGTACAGTTGTTAGTGTTCTACATAAATGATTGAAAACACATTGCTTATAAGGAATTAATTTATATTTTGAGAACATCAAGTCATTGCTGAATACATTTTTAAGATCAATTTGTTACATTTACAGTAATTTGACAGTTAGTACAATTATTGAACATTGGAGGAACACTGTCAGAACTATGAGAAACATTTTGGACAACATGCGGGGTGGTAGGGTTATTTTGATGAATATTTTGTACTGTGAAAATTTTATTTGCCACCTCAACATTATTGTTAAGCGATTCTTCGATATATCCTTCAGCAACGTTTGATGACTTCCATCCGCCATGCCTCTTTGAACTAGTTATGTCGGCACCAGAGTCAACCAATATTGTTGCAGAAGACAGACGAAAGCAGTGACCAGTATATTCTGTCGGATTTACCAAGTTCAAATAAGTAGCAACTATTTTGGGCAATTTTCTAAATTGATGAATTCCTACCACTTGTCTACAACCCTTCCCGCTTTGATATTTGAAGAAAAATCGGTCACTGTTCATATTTTCTGGTCTTAACGAAACATACTTTCGATAAACATTCAAGTAGGTCTGAATAATTACAAATGATCTTGGTTTGTTGGTTTTCGAATCAGGTATGCTGATTAAAAGCTTAGATTCTAGGTCTTCTATATCGTGTACAGTCATTCGGACTAACTCATCCATTCTACAGGCCCCAGAAATACCAAATATTACAGCCACCTAAAAAATAAATAAAGGTATAATCTAAATAGAAATTAAAACCTTATAAATTACCTTAATCATTAAATTTTCTTTATCTGAAGCTTCCTGGATAAATTTTTCAATTTCTTGCTTCGTTAAAATCTTAGATTTCTTTGCCCTATAACCTTGAGCTTGCCGTTTCAATAAAGAACGAAGTTTTGAGTATGTAGATATATCTACATTGTGTTTGATTGCAAGGGTTGACTTCAGCATTTAATAATTTGCCCATAATGTTGAAGATTTCATCTTTAAACAAAGGTTTAGGAAGTATGCCATTAGAACATTTTCTGAGAAAGAACTCGCATTTTTACTCATAAAACTTCTGTATGCATTTTCGTACTTTTCTCCTGATTTCTTTGGCAATAATTCTAATGAAGCAGTATTCACTGCCTCAACCAGCTCTGGAGGAGTCCCAGGAATGGAAATTTCATCATCACTTATCATTTTACTTTCGAGAACATCAGCAATTAAATTTATAAGCGTCAAGTTTGACAATAGGTCTTTTCATTTAGATGACAAATGACAATCGTTGTTTACATCTCGCCTCCAACGACAGTGGCGGCGAAAAATTTTTTAAGGAATTATTCAAATTATTGTTGTTGACATTGACATTTCTCATTTGATGTTGATCAGGAGAATAATGTGCATGCAGAAGAAAAA